CAAAGAAAAAATAACCAAAAATATCTGAAGGGGGTGGTGGTGCAGAGCAGGGCATCCAGGCTCTGTCAGAGTACAGACCATGATGGAATTCCTGCCTGTCTGGAAGATGGGTGGAGGTGGAGGATGGGCACACCTCCACTCACCAAGAAGGTGTGGGATGTAAGAGTAACAAGGAGAATGCTGCACCTTTCCAGTTGTCAGCCTCCAGTGTGTTTACTTGTGCTGTGCTGTCCTCAGTAAGTGAAGTGTATTCTTAGGTAATTGGGATCTGAAGCTACCATTTTAAATATCCAAAATGACCACAGAACACTAGAGGACCAACATTCAAATTGAGGAAATGAGGACAAACAGGAGTGTATAAATATGAGGGGCACAGGGGGAGGGTTATAGGCTAGGGAGGGGAGGAGACTGGGTTAGGTTTGACATGGGAAATGGGAAATGAAACTAAATGTACACATAACGCTGAATGTAGAATAAGCTCTTAAAATAAAAATAAATAAATAAACTCACAGATGCACAAAAATAAATAAATAAGTAAATATCCAAAGTGGCCACACTGCTTGTAAACAATCAAAATGGCTACACCAGATGAAAGTCCACAACTCAATTTGTTTCCTTCTTTGCTGATTCCCTTTTTAGTTGTCAGCAACCAGCACAGTTTCCATTCAGCCCTTGGTGAGCAAGGCCAATTTTTAGTGACTCCTCATGTCCTAATACCACTTGTAAATATTAAAACTGTCCATGCTGTCAGGATAGCTGACAGTCTGCAGTTCTGTTTGTCTCCTTAGTCACTGTTTTTATTCAGATTCTTCTACTAGTTGGTATTTAATGCACTCTTTTACCCTTCCCTTCAAAACTCATGCTCCAGGACTATCATCTGTATCTTTGTTAATTGTTTTTTGTTTTCTGTGTTGAAGAGGGTCTGTGTATCTTGTCTGTCTATTCTGCCATCTTACCAGAAGTCTCTATTTGTGCTGCTTTAAGATACTAACTTTATAACTTATTACAGTAGATAATTTATTACAGAAAAGCATAGAAAAATAATGTACCCCAATTTACTCTTAAAGAAAAAAAACACAGGAATCAGCTTTGATCTTCTCACCTTTGCCATTTCTGTGAGGTAAGCATCAATAAAATCTCTCGGTTCAGCAGGATTCCAATCTATCTTGTGTTTTTCAATCATACTAGAAACAAACTGTTTCAATTTCTCCCAGTCTCTAAAGACTGTCTGGTGAGCTCCAGGAAGGAATTTCATTATCCATGGAAAGATATTGTAGAGCTAATTG